CTGTTACCTAGGCTGGAGTGCGTGGTTTGGAATCTCAGCTCACTGCAACATCCACCTCCCAGTTCAAGCAATCCTTTTGCCTCTAATGTCCCTAGTAAGCTGGACCACCCAAGGGTGTACCACTATGTCTGGCTAATTTTTGTATTTATTGTAGAGACGCAGACTTGCTTTTTTTTTTGCCTAGGCTAGTTTCAAACTCCTGAGCTCTAGGAATCTTCCGGCTTTGGCCTCTAAAAGTGCTGGGATTGCAGGTGTGCACTATTGCACCTGACCTACCCATTTTAAAAAAAATGGATTATTTGTCTTTTTATTGTTGAGTTGTAAACTCATTGTGTTTTCATTTGCATTTCTCTGGTGTCTAATGATGTTAAGCATCTTCCATGTGTTTAGTGACCATTTGTATATTTTCTTTGGAGAAATGTCTATTGAGATCTTTTGCCCATATTTAAATTAGGTCACTTTTCTTGTTATTTTTTTTGCTTTGTGTTCTTTAAAAATTCCAGGCTGGGTGTGATCGCTCATGCCTTTAATCCCAGCACTTTGGGAGGCCCAGGCCAGTGGATCACTTGAGTCCAGGAGTTAAAGACCAGCTTGGGCAACGTGGCGAGACCTTGTCTCTACAAAATTAACTGAGATTTGTGGTGGTGTGCCTGTGGTCCCGTTACATGGGAGGCTGAGATAGGAGAATTGCGTAGAAACGGGAGGTGGAAGTTGCAGTGAGCCGAGATTACACCATTAGTTTCGGCCTGGGTGAGGAGCAAGACTCTTTCTCAAAAAAAAAAAAAAAAAAAAAAAAAAAAAAAAAAAGGAAATTTTGTACAAATTTCTTATCAAGTACATAATTTGCTAAAGTTTCTTTTATTCTGTGGGTTGTCTTTTCACTTTCTTGGTAGTGTCCTTTGAAACACATGGTTTTAATTTCAATTATGTCCATTTATTTTATTTTTTCTTTTGTTGCTACTGTTTTTGATGTCATATCAAAGTGTGCAAATCAAGATCGTAAAGATTTACGTGTATATTTTCTTCTGTTACATAGTTGTAGCTCTTATTATTTACAATTTTTGATCCATTTAGGGTCAATTTTTGCTGCTGCACTACAAGGGAGGATCCAACTTTATTATTTTTCACCATTTTTTGTAGGAGCTCTTTTAGCTGAATTGTGTTGGCATACTTGTCAAAAAGTAATTGGATGTAAATGTGAGAATTTTTATTGTTTATATGTCTGCCTTCCAACAGTACCATGCTGCCTTTACTACAGTAGCTTTGTAATAAATTTTGAAATTAGAAGTTATGAGTCTTCTAACTCTCTTTCTATATTGGCTGTTCTTTGTTATAGTATTTCCATATGAATTTTTAGGATCAGATTTTATTTCTGCAAAAAAGGCATGGGATTTTGGTAGGTAGAATTGCCTTGAAAATGCAGAGGAGTTTGGGAAGCATTACCATATGCTGTGTTAAATCTTCTGCTCAAGGCTTTTGGTTTATTTTGTCTTAATTTCTTTCAACAATATTTTATTATTTTAAAAGTATAAATTTGTACTTCTTTTGTTAAATTTATTTCTAAGTGTTTTATTCTTTTTGATTCTTATAAAGTTAGTTGTTTTATTTCATTTTTGTTTGTTTATTGCTACTGTATGAATACAGCTGATGTTTGTTTATTGGCTTTTATCTTGCAATCTTGCTTAGCACTCGATTACTGGTTCTAGAGTTTTAGTGGATTCCTTAGGACTTTTGATACGTAAGACTGGGTCATCTGCAAATTGAGATAGTTTTACCTCTTTCTTTCACAATCTAAATTCATTTTATTTCTTTTTGTACCCTAAGTGCACTGGCTAAAACCTCAGTGTAATGTTAGTTAGACGGTTAGAGTGGACATCCTTGTCTTGTTTTATTAAAAAGTGATTAGTTAAAAATTTTTTTCTTTTTGTAAAATATATAGGTGGGGAGTCTCACTATGTTGTGCAGTCTGAGCTTTAACTCCTGAGCTTAGTCTTCCCTTCAGTCTCCCAAAGTGTGGGATTACAGGAATGAGCCATCGTGCCTGGCCTCTTATCTTGTTCTTGATTTTAGGGGAAAGCATTCAGTTCTTTACCTTCAAGTGTGATCTGGGTTATGATTTTTTTAATAGATGCCCTTTATCAGGTTGAGAAGCTTCATTTTTTTTTTAGCTTTTTAAAAAAGTATTTATAGTAAGTGTACATGTTTTCAGGGTTCATGTGATCATTCCATACATTAATATAATCAGATCAGGGCTGTTGATATACCCATCATCACCTTAAATATTTACCATTTCTCTATTCTAGGAACATTCAAATTATTCCTGGCAGACTATTTTTGAAATGTACAGGCTTTTTGATGTTAGCTATAGTCACCCTACTGATCTACTGAATAACAATTCTTATTTCTTCCATCTAAGTGTATGTTTGTACCCACTAATCAACCTCTCTTCATCTCTTCTCCCCCTACCCTTCCCAGTCTCTAGTAACCACTAGTCTGCTGTCTATCTTCATGAGATCTACTTTGTTAGCTTCCACATCCGAGTCAGAATATGTGATATTTGTCTTTCTGTGCTTGTTCTTTCATAACATAATGTCCTCCAGTTACATCCATATTGTTGCAAATGACAGGAATTTATTCTTTGCCCAGCTAATTTTTTATGGCTGAATAATATTCCTATCTATCTATCTATCTATCTATCTATCTATCTATCTATCTCATTGCAGTTGTTTTGAAACAGGTCTCAGTCTTTTGCCCAGACTGGAGTGCAGTGGCATGATCATAGCTGTTCCAGCCTGGAACTCCTGCACTCAAGTGATCTTTACCTCAGACTTCCAAGTAGCTGTAGATACGAGAAGTGTGTGTCTGTACCCAACTAATTTTTGTGTTTTTGGTAGAGACAGCATCTTACTCTGTCACCCAGGCTGATCTTGAACTCGTAGCCTCAAGTGATCCTCCTGCTTGGCCTCCAAAGTATTGGGATTTATAGGCATGAGCCACTGTACATGAACACATTTTCTTTATCCATTCATCCACTGATGGACATTTGGGTTGATTCCATATTTCCGCTGTTGTCAGTAGTGCTGCAATAAACATGGGAATGCACTTATCTGTTCGTTATTGATTTTCTTCTTTCTTGGATATCTACCCAGTTGTGAGATTGCTGGGTCATATGGTAGTATTATTATTATTATTTTTTGAGATGGAGTCTCGCTCTGTTACCTATGCTAGAGTGCAGTGGTGCGATCTCAGCTCACTGCAGCCCCTGCCTCCCGGGTTCAAGCAATTCTCCTGCCTCAGCCTCGTGAGTAGCTGGGATTACATGTATGTGCCACCACACCTGGCTAATTTTTGTATTTTCAGTAGAAATGGGGTTTCACCGTATTGGACAGGCTGGTCTCGAACTCCTGACCTCAGGCGATCCACCCGCCGTGGCCTCCCAAAGTGATGAGATTACAGGTGTGAGCCACCATGCCCAGCCTTTAGTGTAACACACTGTGAAAAAAAATCCACATATGAATGGATCCATTGAGTTCAGAACTTTGTTGTTCAAGGGTCATGTTTTTGAACTTGTCTCTACGCTTTTTAAGACATTAAATAATTTTAAATTCTAATGACAATTTAATTTTAAATATATTATTGATTTAAGGCATTACATTCAACTTTTGATAATAATGATAATAGTAAACTGCCAGACATTTCCAAGTTTCATGGCAATATCGTCCTTGAAATTGTATTGAAAAGCAAGGGAAAAATAAGTTTAGCTATTCTACAGTCTCAGTTACTTGCTTTAAACATAATTTTGGAAAACAATACTTTTCAAAACAATTAACATGATTTATGATGGGATACAAAAAAAGGACAAATTAACTTCTGAAAATGACTCAACAGAAGCTAGAATTAATTAATAAGGAGGTAATTGAATGACATAAACCAGATGGAAATGTGAAATGTGAGTTTTTTAGGTATTCTGTGCCATTTAAGGCTTATCAAATTAAGTGACAAGTAGAAACTATGATATATCAATGATTAATAATAATGTTGATGATAATTTTGATGCTTATTTTGTGTCAGTACTGTTTGGATGTTTACATATGGGCCAAATTGGATTATCAAATCAGACTGACATGAAGTGGAGATGTTAATCAATGTTAAGCTTTCCTTATAATTTCAAGAATACAAGTAATCAAAGAGGTTAGGAAAAGCAGAGACAGGTCCAGGACATTGAGAGAGGCCCCCAGATCCTTTCTTACTGCAATTGACAAAGCTCACATTAAGGCAGTAGATGAAGTCTTAATGAAATATATGAGTTATTGAGCAGTGTTACAGGCTGTGAAACATCTCCATTTTATACCCAGATAGTTTGCAAGCTCATGTCCTGTGCCCACGTGCTCCATGTCATAAATGCAGATTCTCAGGTTTATCATAGTAATCCTAATCCAGGGGCAGTCTGCTAAAAGCTTTTTTATGGGTACGTGGTCTTCTTAAAAATTGTGTGGCTTACCGTTAGTATTTTGCCAGCTATTGGCATGCTTATAAGAGGTTTGACCAGATTTTTGCTTTCTTTCTTTCTTTTTTTTTTTTTTTTTGTGAAGGCCTCTCACCCAATAGGGAGAAAAACACTGCTTTAACTCTTTCTCCCCAATAAATTAACCCATTTAAATTCAATTAATTTTTTTTTAGTATAAACAAGATAAAATATATCAAAGAAAGAAGTTTAAAACATTTGAAACATCAGATCTCGGTTTCTAAAAAAATCTTTCTTTTTAGTTTGGTTTGTGGGTTAGTAGGCATGGGGAGAAAATACACTGAAATTATGGCAATATAAATATTTTCCTATAACAGTACTCACAATAGCAATTTATTTTATTAACTTTTTGTGTGTATGTGTCTGCATTTCATAGACAATTCTTTTTTCTATTTCACATTTAGAATTTGAGAAAATCATATAATTCTTTTAATGTTTAATTATTTCTTCTTTCTCAACCCAACCTTCAAATCAGGATGGAGATCCAGTTCGCCCAGGAGTAGCCATGACTGATCTCTTGCCATAGCCTGTATGCATATGTGGAGCTATTATGGCTGGATTCAGTGCAAAATACAAAACCGGGAAAGGGCTGTTTCATTGAGACGTAACCTACTGTCATCCCAGGTAACAATCCAATAATAGCCTAGACAATATTATAAAAACTGTGTCACAGGTTATACTTTTCAGATGCAAAATTCTGTATTCACATGTACAAAAACAATGCCAAAACCAACACAACAACAACAAAAACTGTTTTGTTTTGGTCTTTTCCCTCTCTCTCTCTCTCTCTCTCTCTCTCTGTCTTTCTTTCTTTCTTTTTGGCGAATTTCGCTCTTGTTGCCCAGGCTAGAGTGCAATGCGTGATCTCGACTCACTGCAACCTCCCTCCTGGGGTTCAAGCAATTCTCACCCTGCCTCAGCCTCCTGAGTAGCTGGGGTTACAGGCATGTGCTACCACGCTCAGCTAATTTCATATTTTTAGTAGAGATGGGTTCTGTGTTGGTCAGGCTGGTCTCGCTCTGGCCTGTGATTCGCCACCTTGGCCTTCCAAAGTGCTGGGATTACAGGCATGAGCCACTGCGCCCGGCTGCATACTTGTTTTCATATTAAAATGAGCGGACCATGTAGAAGATTTTATTACTAATGCCGACATCATTGTTTGAACTCAAATTACCAGGCTATTTACTAGAATGTATCTGTTTACTTCTTATGAACAAAGATATAGTTGCTTCACTGTACCTATACTTCTAACACCTGACTTGTTTCTTCACCTTTTATGTACCATGAACCCTTTGGTGATCTGGTGAAGTCTGGACTTTTCCTTGCAATTGTGTTTTTGAACACATAAAATGAAAGTACTTAGGATTACGAAAGAAAATAGTTATGTTGGAAATATATTCAATGGAAAAATCAATTTTCTATTATTAAAAATAATAATTTTTTCTAACACATTAAGCCACAATATCTGTAGTGGGTATAACACTATTACAATTTTGAAGTACGTGTTGAAGATAAATGGTATTTCATGGTATCTGTAGCATTAATTGTAATATGATACAATTTATATTATGATAATATTTGTCGTGATCAAGTCACCAAATTACTGCTAATACTCTTGTGGTTTGTCACCTATTTATAATGAAGAAAATGCTAAATTTTAGTTAGAGGGGTTGATGAAAATAAAGATATACTTTTTTTTTTTCACTCGGGTTGTGATGAACTCAGAAATCATTTATAGACCCCAGATAAAAAATTCCTGGTTTTCCATACTTATCAGTCATGTTGTACTAAATACTAAACTAGGGAATAAAAGGTTAACTCTTTCTATCAGAAATGACATTTCCTTCTTTACTGGATCAGACCCAGATGCTGTACCATATGTGGAAGTTGATTCTGAATAGATAATTTTTCTGTGATAGAAAAAGAAAATATCGGTTGTGCATGGAGACATTTTACTGTAGGAGAAAAACTACTTTCTAACATAGAGACCCCAGTTAGAATTTCCAGATTTAAAGGCATACATGGGAAAATAGTAAACTTGGAACACTGCTTTGGATATTTGTTCCTCTTAGGCAAAATTAAGGAGGTATATAGGAAATAAAAACATCATTATAATGATAAAGAAAAGTGAAATACTACGTGTGGGTTTTATAACAGTAGCTTGAGTCACAGTGGAATTTTAATGTTTCTATAAAAAGGTGAAAGAACTCTGTTCAAATGAATGGATTTCACTCCTTGTAAGAGAACTACAGATCATTAGATTATGGGAGGTGCAGAAAGTCTTTTTCTTCCCCTAATTCTAAGCTGCTAAGGAACCTGAGGTAGGGTAAGCAACTGAATAAAGAATTGCACATCCAATAAGTTTGGAAGCCATGAAGGTTTCATGGGTGTGTAACCTGTGCAGTCATGCATTGTGGGCTTAGTTAAATGTTCTGCTGTCACTGTCTTGAATTTGTTATACTTCCACAGGAGGCCTACAGTTTTTTTGTCAGGACTCACAGATCATATGGCAGGTCATGGAGTTGGGCTCTCGCTTAAGTCTCTGATTTTTACTAAAGACTGCTTTACTCTAATGTGTAAAGAGTATTGTATTGTTTAGATGGTATCGTGAAGTTTAATTCGCTTCTAGCATGTAACTAGTGGTTCACCATGTGTGAAGTGTGTATTTCCTAGAAGATGCAGGTGGGAAGGTGGAATCACTGCAGGCCTTCAAGTGAGGCACAGTGAGCAAACTCATGCATATACATACAGGTATATAGTCAGTCATTTTTGGGGTGTGTGTATGTGTGTGTGCGTGTCTGGCATGTCTATTTTGTATCCATGTTTCTCCCTGAGATTGTAAATTCTATGATGGCTGGGACATTGTTTTTGCTTACAATGGTATCCTCAATGCCCAGCCCAGCCTTTGTCAAAGATTGGTTTTTCCAATTCTTTGAGATCAATGTGAGAACTACTGTTACCAATGGGATATCTTGTAACCCTTAAGGTTGCAGGGAAGATGAGAAAGATGGTAAACCATTAGAATTTGCAGTAAGTACTCAATAAACAGCTAATGATGAGATTATTTGCTTTTGGCAAACACAGTAGCAGTGATTTGGCCTATTGTACTACAGCTAACTCAGATTACTAAAATTAGTATATTTCAGTCACATTAACTATCTTTTCTTTTTCTCTGTAAGCTAGCTGGAGTGCAGTGACATGATCTCAGCTCACTGCAACCTCGACCTCCCAAGTTCAACGCTTCTTGTGCCTTAGCCTCCTGAAGTACGCAGGGACTACAGGCATGTGTCAAAACTCCTGGCTAATTTTTTTTCTTGTATTTTTTTGGTAGAGACGGGGTTTCACCATGTTGGCCAGGCTGGTCTTGAACTCCTGACCTCATCACCTGCCTTGGCTTCCCAAAGTGCTGGGATTATAGGTGTGAGCCACTGTACCCGGCCAGGGCCACTGTGCTGAGCAAAGGTTCTGTTTCTTTATCCATAAATTCTAATAGGTGATGGTCTTTTAAGGCAAAGAATATGTCTCTTCATAGACTTACTACAGCTGCGCCATTCAGAATAGCTTCTGGACTGTGAGTAGTAGTTAGAAAACTTCAAAAGGCAGTTGTAACAGATAATTTATTCTATAAGCTTACCTGAAGTGCAAGGCAATGCGTGGTAGAGAACTTTTCCTCTCTAGATTCTGCATCCTGAGCTCGTTTTTCTGTTTGCCTCTGCTTTATTCCTTGTCTCTGTCCTGCCTTTCTTCTCCTTATGCCTTCTCTAGCTTGGGCATCTCTTCTTCTTTGTCTCTCTGTTCTATCTTTACTTTCCTGTTTCCTTTCTCCTCTATGCTGTAAACCTTCTTCCCTCTCCCTATTTTTTATCCATCTTCCTTATGTGGAACTAAGGTTATAGCAGTTTTGGTTTCAGATCTTGCATTTTTTTTTTTTTAGGAGATACAGTCTCGTGCTTGTCTAGGTTGGAATGCAGTGAATGCGATGATAGCTCACTGCAACCTCGAACTCCTGGACTCGACAATCCTCCTTCCTCAGCCTCCGTATAGTAGTTGGGACTACAGGTGTGACATTATGCCTGGCTAATTTATATATATATATATATATATTTAGAATCAGAGGTCTGACTGTATTGTCAGGCTAATCTCGAACTCTTGTATAGGGATCTTCCTGCCCAGCTCCCAACATGCTGGTATTACAGGTGTAGTCACTGCATCCAGCTAGATCTTACATTCTTACACCATATTATTCAAGAAGTTTAAATCTTACAGTGGTTCCTGTAGAGGAAAAGGAAGTTCCCTTTTCCTAGAGTTCAGAAAGCAAGAACATAATTTCACTGGTTTAAGTGACCGTTCCTAAACTGATAAATGGGGCCTGAAAGATGAAGACACACTGAGCGGCTTAAGCGATTCCTGGTACTAGAGATGGGGTTAACTCCACCCAAACCGTATGGCTGAGACTGGGGGACAGGTGATTACTCAAAGAATGGTATGGTTATTTTTGGCCAGAAGAGAAATGGATGCTGGGAAGCAATCCACAAATATTCTCTCCTAATGTAAGTTGTTTTTAGGATCTAATGCAATAAAGGATGTGAAAAAATGCTTTGTAAATCAGAAAATATGATGATGACAAGCATTAATTTTATTCAGTTATTGAAAAAATAATTCACTGTTAGTAATGTTGAGGTCAAAAGGATTGACTAACAACATAATTATTTTATCATAATTGTTATAACTTTTCATAATAGATAAATGACTGACTTCAATTTGTCTTTCAATTTAAGATACTTACTTATAAATTCTAGATCCAAAAACCAACCACAACATGGCTAAAATCTGCTTTATGTAAATAAGGAGTGCTATTTCTAGGTACTTTTTAAAAAGCATAACAGGAAACTTCACTTTTTAAAAAATTTTTTAAAAATTCTTTCTGAATGTATGTTCACCTGCATTAAGCAGATAACATTTGAACTTAATTTCAGCTGCCTGGAAAATGAATACAATTTCATGCAGTAGTAAAAAACATGCTTTTCTACTCATTTTGATTATATTTTATAGAATGACGAATGATTATAACGTGAGCGTTAGTTGCTAAAAAAAAGTAAATCGTTATACTCCTCTTAAAGTGATCTAGTGTAAAGACAATTTACACCTGATTGAATAGTAGCTGATTATTAACTCAGAAACGATTGCCTCAGCCACAACAAAACCATTTCAAGTAGTTCATTATAGAGACATGACAATTGCCGGGATGTGGTTTGTAGTGGGCACCACATTTTTTATAGTTTTGAGGCTATAACTTTTAACCCTTTTCAAAAATTCTTTTGATTTTTTTTTTTTAGTCTGAATATGATTTAAATTTGTCCAGTCAAGACAACTAACATCAGCATCTAGACAGTGTTCTTTGGATGATATTGGTAAATGTAAGAAATGGGTTTGGATGTGGTTCTACTTATTCTGTTGCTCTATTCTTCTGTTGTGGCTTACAGAAATAGCTTTTGGAAGTTTTAATATCCTTCCTGTATGAGTGCAACCAGGCTCATAATTACTAGTACAATGAGTTAGTTTTTAGCACCATAATTATTTTCACATACAGA